AGTCTGGGCGGGGAGGGAAGGGAATTATGAGCTTCTGATAATATTTTATGAGATTCTTTTATAGATAAAGGAAAGTCATCTGCTGACTGATAACCTTAGGCAGCACCTACCAGCATAATCGCAATTGCCTTTAGCAGTAATGTAATTATGAACTTCATATGGTTGCTTCGTCATGCAGAGAAGTCGGATGTATTTGCTGTAACTTTATTAACAGCCATTCCCTTTAATAAAACTAAATAAGCCGCTATAGTCTTTATCAAGTTTTAGATGAGGAATACCTGTAACTTCTCCCACTTTAAAATTTCTCTTGACTACTCATAGAAGTGAGGCCTGAAGACTAGATGAAGTTGGTAGTTTTATTTTATACTTCAAGGAGAGTCACTAATTTTTAAACTTTTGATTTAATGACACAGGTAATTCTTATAGAAAAATAAAAATACAATAAATAAGAAAGCAGTTTACCTCTAATTCCTTTACCCATATGTAACTAGTATTAACATTGTAAATGTGTAATGTTTCACACCTTTCTATGCACAAAACACCCATGTACACCACAAGCACACACACACGCACACACACGCACAATTTTCAATTAAGCCAATGTTTTCTAATCTGGATTTTTGTCCTAAAAAAAGTTATGAACAATTTTCCATGTCAACAATATCCGTGTACTCTAGTGAATGCCATCCTGAGATGCCAGAGTGAGTGATCAGTATGAGGAGAGATGAAACAGGTCAGCAGCAGAGGCTGCAGAATCCAAGGACAGTGCCAGGTGCACAAGCATCATCCAATATTGAGAGCAGGTCAAAGCAGCAGGGACGGAGAGTCCATTTAGCCAGTGGCCACAGTGCCAGAATAATCAACCACATGGGAAAGATGCTAGACTCCTACATCACACCACATGCAAAAAGAAATTCTGGGTGAATGAGAGATACACATTGAATATTAGAACGTGTGTAATATCAGAATAAAATGTATCGAAGTATTGCCTTCATGTTGAAATGGGAGAAAACTTTATGATGGGACAGGAGTCATGAAACACATTTAAAAAAAGGAAAAGAATTACGTGCTGATATGTCAAAGTTACCACAAAGCTGTGAAAAAAAGATAGATCGGGGGAAAATATGTGTAGCACACATGGCAGACAACTGGTAGTAACCTGAATATATAACGAGATCACACAAATTAATAAGATTTAAACAATGAAAAAAACGATATATGTATGTGATCCCCAGTGAAAGACACAGAACTCGCTGATGTACACACAGAAAGGTGCTCAAACTCACTGCAAGCCACGGCACTGCATGCTGAATAAATACTGAGATGCCATTTATTTATGACTCAAATCCAGGGGAAAAATGTTGTAAAATGATGACGTTGGTGTCAGCAATATATTGGGTTTGGAGTTAGCCCTATAACACATTGCTTGTTATGGCAACAATGAGAAATAGTTGTACAATAATGAAACAAAATTACACATGCCCACTGACATCAAGAATCCCATCTTAGAGAATACAGCCTATGGCAATAAAACCAACGGCAATAAGGCGATACCTAGGAGCTTGGTAGTATTGCTGTACACAGTGGGAAGAAACCAGCAATGAACATTCATCAGTAGAAAAATGATTGAAGTATATCCACGTAAGGAAACACTTTTTATTAAATGTTTATGATTTTTTATTAAAATACTTATTTTTTATTAAAAGATGATGAAACTGCAGAGTTATATGTACAGTATGAGTGTATAGTATGAGTACAGAAGTGAGATGACAGATAGATAGATTTGTGAAAGACTACACAATAAAACATGTAAGGAAGGCTTGACTCGAGGAGGATGGAGAGAAGACATTAAATTTTCCTTAATATCTATTGCATATTGTATATTATTTTTGTAATAAAAACAATTCATAGTATTTTAAAAATTATACAATACAGGAGATTATTTAAAAGACCATGGTGCAGTTTTCAAAATGTTCTTTGAGCTCAATGATGAACCAATTACAATGACTTTACACAGCAAATATTACTAGACAGCTACCACAGACCAGGTATATTGTTCTAAGTGTCTAAAATACACTTTACTCCATGAGCCCACCCTCCATGCTGTGCCCTTTCACCTCCATGCTGTGCCCTCTCACCTCCATGCTGTGCCCTTTCACCTCCATGCTGTACCCTCTCCCTCCATGCTGTGCCCTTTCACCTCATGCTGTGCCTCTTCCGGGAGGGCATGAATAAAACCAAAGGTCTCTAATCTCACCACTCTTACAGTCTAGTGGGGAAGGACAAACAAGGAGTAATCATCATTTTAAGAAGGCAAACTATGAAGTATGCGAGGAGATAATGTGCTATGAAAACAACACTGAAGGTGAGGGCTCAGGAGGCTGCAAGGTGGATGGGAGCCCTCCCGGAAGAGGGCACAGCATGGAGGTGAGAGGAGCACAGCATGGAGGTGAGAGGGCTGTATGGAGAAAGGGCACAACATGGAGAAGGAGAGACTCAAGAGAGGCACGGGTGAATGAGACCCCTCCGGAAGAGGGAGCACAGCATGGAGGTGAAGGGCACAACATGGAGGTGAGAGGGCACAGCATGGAGGTGAAAGGGCACAGCATGGAGGTGAGAGGGCACAGCATGGAGGTGAAAGGGGCACAGCATGGAGGTGAGAGGAGCTGGCATGGAGGTGAGAGGGCACAGCATGGAGGTGAAAGGGCACAGCATGGAGGAGGGCTCAGGAGGCTGCAGAATTGGACAGGAGCCACTCCTGGAAGAGGAGCACAGCATGGAGGTGAAAGCTACATGGAGGTGAAAGAGAGCACAGCATGGAGGTGAGAGGGCACAGCATGGAGGTGAAAGGACACAGCATGGAGGTGAGAGGGCACAGCATGGAGGTGAAAGGGCACAGCATGGAGGTGAGAGGGCACAGCATGGAGGTGAAAGAGGGCACAGCATGGGGAGGGCTCAGGAGGCTGCAGGGTGGGCTGACCACTCCCGGAAGAGAGCACAGCATGGAGGTGAAAGGGCACAGCATGGAGGTGAGAGGGCACAGCATGGAGGTGAGAGGGCACAGCATGGAGGTGAAAGGGCTGTGGAGGTGAGAGAAGGCTTTGGCATGGGGTGAGAGGGCACAGCATGGAGGGTGAAAGGGCACAGCACAGAGGAGGGCTCAGGAGGCTGCAGGGTGAATGGGAGCCCTCCGGAGTGAAGGAGCACAGCATGGAGGTGAAAGGGCACAGCATGGAGGTGAGAGGGCACAGCATGGAGGTGAAAGGGCACAGCATGGGTGAGAGGAGCACAGCAGGTGAAAGGAGCACAGCATGGAGGTGAGAGGGCACAGCATGGAGGTGAAAGGGCAGAGCATGGAGAGGGAGGGCTCAGGAGGCTGCAGGGTGGGCTGAGGCCCTCCGGAAGAGGAGCACAGCATGGAGGTGAAAGAACTGTATGGGGTGAGAGAGGGCACAGCATGGGTGAAAGGAGCACAGCATGGAGGTGAGAGGGCACAGCATGGAGGTGAAAGGGCACAGCATGGAGGTGAGAGGGCACAGCATGGAGGTGAAAGGGCAGAGCATGGAGGGAGGGCTCAGGAGGCTGCAGGGTGGACGGGAGCCCTCCCGGAAGAGGGCACAGCATGGAGGTGAAAGGGCACAGCATGGAGGTGAGAGGGCACAGCATGGGTGAGAGGGCACAGCATGGAGAGGGGCCTCAGGAGGCTGCAGGGTGGACAGAACCCTCCCGGAAGAGGCTAACCACTGGGGTGAAAGGAGCACAGCATGGAGGTGAGAGAGGCATGGAGGTGAGAGAGCACAGCATGGAGGTGAGAGGGCACAGCATGGAGGTGAAAGGGCTGGCATGGAGGGCTCAAGGAGGCTACCAGGTCCTCTCACCTCCATGCTGTGCCCTTTCACCTCCATGCTGTGCCCTCTTCCGGGAGGGCACATGGAGTAAAAAACCAAAGGTCTCTAATCTCACCACTCTTACAGTCTAGTGGGGAAGGACAAACAAGGAGTAATCATCATTTTAAGAAGGCAAACTATGAAGTATGCGAGGAGATAATGTGCTATGAAAACAACACTGAAGGTGAGGGCTCAGGAGGCTGCAAGGTGGATGGGAGCCCTCCCGGAAGAGGGCACAGCATGGAGGTGAGAGGGCACAGCATGGAGGTGAGAGGGCACAGCATGGAGGTGAAAGGGCACAGCATGGAGGTGAGAGGGCACAGCATGGAGGTGAAAGGGCACAGCATGGAGGTGAGAGGGCACAGCATGGAGGTGAGAGGGCACAGCATGGAGGGAGGGCTCAGGAGGCTGCAGGGTAGACGGGAGCCCTCCTGGAAGAGGGCACAGCATGTGCAAAGGTCTCGGGCATCTGAGAAACAGCAGATGCAGGGAGTGAGATGAGAGAAGGGGAGGGGATGGGGTCCAAAGGAAGAGGGTCTCAAGGGCCATCATAACCTACAGCTTTCCTCTGTGTGAAGGTGGAGGCCATGCCGGGGTTTTGAGCAGAGCAGTGACAAGGTCTGACACCCACTGTTGTGTTCAAAACAGGCCACGTGGGGGAAAGTGCAGGAGCAGGAGAGCCCATTGGGGATCCCTGCAGCGGAGCAGGCAGAACAAGGGTTCCTGGTGACCGAGGGCTGAGAGGTCATCGGATGATTCCAGTACATAGCACACTGCTTAGTTGGAGCTCGGTATTTTCAAGAAGTTTGCTATTGGTGTTGTATTAGTCTGTTTTTACACTGCTATAAAGATACTACCCAAGATGATAATCTATAAACAAAAGAGGTGTAATTGACTCACAGTTTGGCATGGCTGGGGAGGCCTCAGGAAACTTAGGATCATGGTGGAAGGGGAAGCAGTATCTTCTTCACAGGGTGGCAGGGGAGAGAAGAGTGAATGAAGAAGGAACTTCCAGCCACTTATAAAACCATCAGCTCTTATGAGAACCCACTCATCATCACGAGAACAGCATGGGGGAAACCGCCCCCATGATCCAATCACCTCCCACCAACGCCTGGGGATTACAATTCAAGATGAGGTTTGGGTGGGGACACAAAGCCTAAAATGCATCAGGTGTTTAATGGCTAATATTTAAACAAAGGTAATGTTTATTTATTTATTTAATGAGGTTGCATCCTTATAAACAGTGGTTAAAGACCAAACATCAGTTTCTGGAGCATCAGTTTTAATAACCTCATTTATTCTCCATATATATCATGATTTATTCAACCAAGTGCTTACATAGATTGCTTCCACAGTGTGCAATTACAAAGAGTGTTGAAATAAGCAGCCTTATAGAGTCATCTTAGAATGTTCTGCTGATCAGCTCTTTAGAATACATTGCTAGAAGTGAATCAAGGAGCATGTTCATTTTAAGGTTTTTGACTGTCCTGCCGAATTGCCCTCCAGGAATTTTCTCCTGATCTGCAGGCCCTCTAGCAGTCTGTGGCAAGAGGGTGCGTTTCCTCCCCAGCAATGGGTGTTATTGTTATGGTTATTCTTTTTGATCTCTGCCAATCTGATTGGGGAAAAGGAAGTTTTCTAATTTAACAAATGGTGTGTGCATTAATGTTGGCTTACTGCACAAGTAAATTAATCAATAAGAAAGTAAATTAATCCAATAGAGAAAGCGACCCACAGCCACAGCAAACTTACAACAACATGTTTTTATTATGCTATGTCTCTAAATGGACCCTGCTGACAGGCATGCATGCTTTACCTGTACTTATAGTCATGATGTAGTTACAATTTTACACGCAGTTTTTTCTTCCTGGCACCTGGCATCTTATAAACATTTTCTTCATTGCTATTTAGTATTCCAAATTATAACTGTAACAGTTATGTGATACATAAAAATTGACTAAATTGTGTACTTTAGGAAACTCTAATGATCATAAAAGAAAAGGGGTGGGAGAAGGCTTGTCCCTCAGAGCTGGACTTGCTGTCACCTCTGTGGAGTTTAAGGGGGGCATGAGGAGGAGATGCACGCCTGACTATGTGAGCCCCGAAGAGAAAGTCAAAGGTAGAGAAACAGAAAAGCAGACAGCACACAACATGGGTAATTTAGAAAATACAAACAAAAAATTAGTATTCAGAGACAGATTCAAGAAGTGATTGCATCCACAAAATAAAAATTGTAAAATATGAACGTGACCCAGAGGCTAACAAAGATCTATTAGAAATTAAAAATATGATCAATAAAATAATAGAAGTGCTGGAAGCCAAAATTGAACAAAACATTCAAAAACAAAAAGATAGTAAGATAGGGAATATGACCAAAAAAATAAAATCAGAAAGACTTAATCATGGAAGTCCAAATGAGAATTAAAATGTTGCTATAAGGAGACAGAAGAGATAAACAAAAAGGAGACATTATCAAAGAGATAGAGAAAAATTTTTCTAGAGTCAAAGAACAAAGCTCCCTTCATGTTGAAGTTTACCAAATGCTGAATGTGATGATTAATTTTATGTGTCAACCTAATGCCTTCTGAGCCACAGGCCTTTGGTCAAATGTTATTCCGGATGTTTCTGTGAGGGTGTTTTCAGATAAGATTAACATTTACATCGGTGGACCCTGAGTAAAGCAAATTGTCCTCCCTGATGTGGGAGGCCCTCATCCAATCAGCTGAAGTCATGAAGAGAAAAAATCCAACCACCTTTCAGCAAGGGGGATTCTTTATCAATGTAGGGAGAGAAAAACAAAGCTCTGATAAAACAGGTAAAGATTCCAAGTTTATGGTAAGTAAATGGTAGGACCAGTGAAACAGGAGGGGGGGTGAAGGAGTCGGAAAGCTGGTAAAATTGTAAAATTGCCAACAATCTGGAAGTGAGGTGGGGCCTTCATACAAATCACTGTGAAGACCCTTGGTCCTCCTTGTGGAGGCCTCAAAAATGTTCCCTGAGCCCAAACTCTTTCTCAGAAGCACCTGTGATCGTGAATGTCATCTTGTGTGTGTGTGAGAGAGAGAGAAAAGGAAAGAGAGAGAGAGTGCAAAAACCCCAGCATATCCTACAATCAACATAAATTGCTATGACAGAAGGGGAGAGTATGATTGAGACAAATAAACCAAGTCTAACTTTTCCAGACCTGTTTTTTTTTTTTTTTTTGCCCGTGACCTTCTGAACAGGGGACAACGGCAGAACGAAGGACTATGTAATCACTGGAATTCCTAACAGAGCTCACATTCTAGGACTCAAACTGAGATTGCATCAGTGCCTTTCCTCTGGAGGCTGTGCTAGAAGACCTGGTTACATCCTTCACCCCAGACAGCTCTGGATGAGACACAGTTCACGCAGGCAGTGACCCCATGGTTCTCCTCCAAATCAATGCTATGACACAATCCAAGATACAGAGGACCCCACATTTACCCAGTGACAAGCTCCTGACTACCACCAGTGAGGGCTGAGCCATGCCCACACGGGAGAAAGAAGCCAGCAAGCCAAAACTCATTGTAAGAAATTAGAGGAAATAATCCAGTGAAGCACACCCACAGAAAATAGGCAGAAGGAAGTTGAGAAGGAAAACAACTCGTGTGGATGAGTTAGAAAGCAGACACCAACAGAGAGGACCACCAAAGCCAACAGTTGTTTCTTTGCAAAACTGATAAAGAAACTTTATCATTGCCAACTGATAAAGAAACTGATAAAGAAACTTTATCATTGCCAAAATGTAGCGAGAACACAAATAACCAATGACAGAAAACACGTGAGGAGGCATCATGGCAGATTACAAGACACCTGAAGATACTAGCTCAGGTCGCGGTGCCAGCACACTTGAAAACGTGGACAAAAGGAACAAAAACCTATGGAACAATACATCTGCAACAAATTGACGTGAGAAAAATAGAAAGTCTGAATAATTAAACAGCTATTTAAAAGCTTGTATTCAAAATTAAAATTTTTACACACAAAAATCCCAGGTAGAAATGGCTTCATTAACAAATTCTGCAAAATACTTAAGAATAAAATGGCATGGGTCTTACACACATTCTCGCGTAGACTATCAACAGAGGGAATGCTTTCACTCCAGAAGGTCAGCATACTATTGATTCTGAAAACTTGAAAAAGAATAGACAAGAAAGGAGAATTATGAGCTAATCTCCTTGGGAATATAGATGCAAAACTTTAAAACCAAATACTATCCTACGGGACAATATGTCATAACCAGGTTGATTGATTCCAGAAATGCAGGGTTGGCTTTATATTTGCAAATCAATCAACGTAATTAATGAAATAAATAGGGAAAAAGGAGAAAAATATTTTAATCCCCTCAATATCTTAGGAAATACCTTTGATAAAATTCAACATCATTCTAGGAACAGACGGTTATTTCATTAATCTCATACAGGATATCTTCAAAGCACACACTCCATCGTCTTAGTGATGAAATATTGAAAACCTTCCCACTGTCCTTGCAAGTGACACATGGACAAGGAAGCCTGACAGCATCACCATAGAACATTCTCCTTGAGGCACTAGCCAATAAAATAAGGCAAGGAAAATGAGTAAAAGATTTAAGGGTCAGAAATAAAGACATAAAACTGCCATTAATCTCAGATGATATGAATGTACATGGAAAAAAATCCCAAAGAATCGCTGGATAAATGATTCAAATGAATAAATGAGTTTAGCAAAGTTGTTAGATTTTTTGTTGGTATTTTTATCTATCATCAACCAAAATAAAACGAATTTTAAAAAGGTCACTGGCAATAGCATTAGGGAAGCAGGAGCCCAGGAGAGCCAGTGTAACTCAATTTTAAAACCAACTCCTGTCCTGCCTCACAGTCCTAAGATGTTTACAGCCAAGGAAACAGCTCGGTCATGCCTGCAAGACAAACTCCTACCACAACAGAAAGTCCAGGTGTCCCAATACCTGTACCAACATATGCCTTCAAGATAATTATAGTAATGCTCCAATGTACTGACACACTGAAATGTCAAGAATAGTTTTCTTTAAATCAACAGAATAATTCTGTCATGCTGTCAGCCCACCCACGTACAGTCACAGCTTAGTATAGACTTTACGTAGCAAGACCCCACACAAAAAAAACTTACAATGAAGAGGTGCATTCCTCCACTTGCTTTCTGAGGACATCAAACTCAAACTCCGCAATGGAGTAGTATCTCAGAAACTTGCTGCTTTCACTGCGCTCTGCCAGTCACCTCGAATTCCTTCCTGCATGAGATGCAAGAAGTGTCTCTTGGGGTCTGAGTCCAGACCGCTTTCTGGTAACAACAGCGTCAGAAAACAAGAAGAGGAGGAAGGGGAGGAGGAGGAGGAGAAGAAGAAAGGAAAGGAAGAAGAAGGAGGAGGAGGAGGAGAAAGTAGAGACAAATCTAATGAGAGCTCTACAAGACTGCCACATCTTTCTATATAGAAAATTATAAAATAACAATTAGAGACATTAAAAGAAATCTCTATATACATATATACCATGAAATACTATGCAGACATAAAGAAGAACTAGATCATGTCCTTGGCAGCAACATGGATAGAGCTGGAGGCCATTATCCTAAGTGAACTAATACAGGAACAGAAAACCAAACACCACATGTTCTCACTTATAAGTGAGAGCTAAACATCGGGTTCACATGCACATAAAGAAGAAAACAGTCCCCAAGGCCTATTTGAGAGTAGAGGGTGGGAGAAGGGGTGAGGAAGGAAAAACTTTATATCCAGTGCTATGCTTATTACCTGGGTGACAAAATAATCTGTATGCCAAATCCCTGTGGCATGCAATGCAGCTATACAACAAATCTGCCTATGTACCCCAAACCTAAAAGTATTACGAAAAAGAAGAAAACTTTTATAAATAAAGGGGTATTCCTTGTCTGTGGATTAGTAATAGAACGTTCAAGATTCTAAAGATGTAATTTCTCCCCGGATAGACTACAGAGGCAATGGAGTCCTATCAAAATACAGTAGACTTCTGGCATTTATTTCCTTGCTGATTCTAAAATTTATGTAATATAGCAAAGTACCAAAGATATTCAAGACACCCTTGAAAAATATGGTGGGAGAACTTGCTCTACAAAATATCAGCACTTCTTTTAAAGACAAAATAATTATGACAAGTGCAAGAATAGACAGATGCACTAGCCATTCAGAGACGAAGACCCAGAACATTCCCGAATACACACAAACATTTTACTCAGGACAAAGGTGGCAGCAACATGCAAGAGTTCAAAAAGGACAAGACTTTTCAATAAATATTGCACTGGAATATGTGTTTAAAAACAAGTAAATTGTGACACCCCCTCCAAATACAGCCCATGAAAAGCCATTCTGGGTAGATTCTAGATCTAGATAAGAAAGGCAAAATGATAAGGTTTCTAGAAGATACCATTAAGTAATGTCTTCAGTAATCTGGGTGAGTAAACATTTCTTCAAAAGGGCACAAAAGGATTAATAATAAATAAGACTATGTAAAAATTACGACCTTCTGTACCTCCAGTCTCTCTCTCTCTCACTATCTTCATCTCTATCTTTAAAAGGCATCTAAGACAAACCCACAGCTTACGTCATACTTAACAGGAAAGACTGAATGTTTTCTTTTGCCCTTTCTGTTCAACATGGCATTAGATGTTGTAGCCAGAACAATTAGGCAGGTAAAAGAAGTAAAAGGTACCCATCCTGGAAAGAAAGCAGTAAAACTATCTCTATTTGCAGATGACACGAGCTTCTAGGTAGAAAGTACAAAAAAATTCACACACACACACAAAAAACCCCAACTATTGGAACTAATAAACAAGTTCAGCAAAGTTACAGGAATCAATATATAAGAATCTTTTCTTTTTTCCTTCTTGAGACAGGGTCTCACTCTGTTGTCTGGCTGGAGTTCAGTGGTGCAAAGACAGCTCACTATAGCCTTGACGTCCAGGGTTCAATGGATCCTCTGACCTCAGCCTCCCTCCTGAGTAGCTGAAACTACAGGTGCATGCCACCATACCCTTGCTATTTTTTATATTTTTGGTAGAGACAGGGTTTCATCATGGTGCCCAGGCTGCTCTGGAACGCCTGAGCTCAAGTGATCCATGTGCCTCAGTCTCCCAAAGTGCTGGGATTACAGGTGTGTGCCACTATGCCTGGCCTTCCAATCAATATTTAATTTTTATACACTAACAATGAATGTTCTGAAAATAAAATTAGAAAACAATTCCATGTACAATTGTGTCAAAAATAATAAAATACTTAGAAAGTACAAGACTTCTATGCGGAAACTACAAAGCACTGTCAAAAGAAATTAATGAAGACCTAAATAAATGGAAAGACATCCTATGTTTATGGTTCAGAAGATTTAACCTTAAGGCAGCAATACGTGCAATAGGTAAACAAATTTAGTTGCAATTCCCATCCAAATCCCAGATGGCTTCTTTGCTGAAATTGACATGCTGATCCTGAAATTCATATAGAAATCGAAAGACACTGGCCAGGAATAGCAGCTCACACCTGTAATCCCAGGACTTTGGGAGGCCAGGCAGGCGGATCACCTGAGGTCAGCAGTTAGAGACCAGCCTGGACAACATGGCAAAGCCCTGTCTCTACTAAAAATACAAAAAGTAGCCAGCTGTGGTGGCATGTGCCTGTAATCACAGCTACTCAGGAGGCTGAGGCACAAGAATTACTTGAACCTGGGAGGTGTAGGAAACAGTGAGCTAAGATCATGCCACTGCACTCCAGCCTGGGTAACAGAGCAAGGCCCTGTCTTAAAAAGAAGAAGAAGAAGAAGAAAGAATAAAAAGACACAGATCCGCCGAAACAATCTTGGAAAAGAAAAAATTGGAGGACTCACATTTCCTGACCTCAAAACTTATTACAAAGCTACAATGATTGAAACAGTGTGGTACCGGCATAAGAATACACATATATTCCAATGCAACTGAACTGAGAAACCAGAAACTGATTTCTGGATCAACTGCTTTTCAACAAGTGTTCCAAGACAATTCAAGAGGGAAAGAATTGTCTTTTCAACAAATGGTACTGGGACAACTGGGTATCTACATGTAAAAGAAGGGGCCCCTATCTCACACCATATACAGAAATTAATGCAAAATAGAACAAAGGCTTAAATGTAAGTGCTAAGACTACAGCAAAATCTTAGAAATCATAGCTGTAAACTTTGTCTTTGGATTAGACAATGGTCTGTTAGGACACCCAAAGCATAAGCAACAACAAAGTAGATAAACTGGACTTCATCAAAATTACAAACATTTTTTGTTGCAAGGGACAGTATCAAGAACATGAAAAAAACTCACAACATGGAAAAATTATTTGCCAATCTTGTATTTCATAAGGGAAATGCAAATCATGTCTGATAAGGGAATTGTATATTGAATACTCACATCTCAATAACGAAAACACAACCTAAATTTTAAAATGGGCCAAGGATCTGAATAGATAGTTCTCCAAAGGAAGTATACAACATGTATACAAGCACATGAAAAGAGGCTCAACGTCCTTAGCCATCATGGAAACACAGATCAAAACCACAGGGAGAAACCACTTCACATCTGCTAGACTAAAGACAGAGGCTGGTGCGCACACGGAGAAAATGGAACCCTCATACCCCGCTGGCTGGTGGGATTCCACTTGGGAAATAGTCTGGCAGTTCCTCACAAGGTTAAGCACGGTAGTCACCTACGATCCAGCCATTCCACTCTTAGGTACAATGAAAACATATTGCCACACAAAAACTCATACAGGAATGTCCTTGCAGCATTATTCGTGATCGCTAAAAAATGGAACAACTCACATGTCATCAACAGATGAATGGATAAACAAAATTTGGCACAGCCATGTAGTGGAATATTATTTAGACACACAAAGGAATAAAGTTCTGACGCAATCTGCAGCACAGACGCACCTTGAAAACACTCACCGAAAGGAGCCCCCACAGAAAGCACCTGGCGTGTGACTCCATTTCCATGAACTTCCAGAACCCGCAGGGTGGTGGCTCTATGTGTGGGGGTGCGGGAGAGGGAACGGGGGTAGCTACCGATGAGAACAGGGTTTCTTTTGGGGGTGGTGAACACAACTTCGTTAATATACTAAAAAACTGTGGAACTGTACACCTTAAATAATGTGAGTTTTATGGCATGTGAACTGCATCTTAAGCTGTTATTTTAAAAATTTAAAAAGCAAGCTGAGCAGCCTGGCCAATATGGTGAAACCCCGTCTGTGCTAAAAATACAAAAATGTAGCCGGGTATGGTGGTGCGTGCCTGTAGTCCCATCTACTCAGGAGGCTGAAGCAGAAGAATCGCTTGAACCCGGGAGGCGGAGGTTGCAGTGAGCCGAGATCATGCCACTGCACTCCAGCCTGGGCGACAGAGCAAGACCCTGTCTCAAAAAAAAAAAAAAAAAGAAAAAGAAAGAAAGAAAGAAAGAAAGAAAGAAAAAGCAAGGCGCGGTTTCCAAACTGCAAGGTTTTGAAATCTCTACTGCGATTGTAATGGTAACACGGTCCTTGCAATGTGATAATGTCCCGATAATTTATCTTTATAAACATTTTAAAACCTTAACAAGTCCTTTCTCCGCCTTTGTTCCACTTGCGCCTCCTTGCCCCTCTCCCCCGGGCTCCTCCTCCCGGCTGGCCCTCCCCGCTGAAGTCACGGACGCGCTCAGCTGGCCCCGGGGTCTGGGTGCGCCCGCCCGGCCCGCAGTCGGCGAGGGACCCTGGGGGGTCTGCGGGGCGGGTCCAGGGGCAGCCGCGGTGACCTCGGGGCGCGTGCAGACCCCGCCCTCAGCGACCGGCCGCAGATTCCAGCCCACCTTGGCGACCTGTGGAGCCAGGGGCGGAGAGAGGAGGCGCAGGAGGACCCGCGACACAGCTCCGGATCCGCGCGCGCTGGGCCTCCGGCGCAGCTCGTGGGATTCGGGAGGCCGGGACACTGCCCGGGAGATGTGGACGCCTGGCGGACCCCCGGGGCCCGCGAGCTGGGACCGCCGTAGGTTGGGCGCGAGGTTGCGCGCGGCGTTCGCGGGGCTGCAGGAGCTGCAGGGGCTGCGCGCCACGCAGCAGGAGCGGGTACGGGGCGCCCTGGCCCTGCAGCCCCCGCCCGCGCCCGCCGCTCCCTGCGGTCCCCACGGTCCTCACGGCCCCGAGCAGCAGCTGGAGGCGGCACTGGCCGCGCTGCAGGAGCAGCTGGTAAGGACCAGGCGCCGGGACTCGGGGCTGCGGGGTTTGCGGGCCACAGGCGCTGCTCCCTCCCGGTGCCGGCCGAGACTGTGTGTTAGTGGGAGGGGGGCGTCTGTTGGATGGAGGGGATGTCCTTTGGGATTTGATTGGAATGCAGTTGGGTCTCCAAGGAGGGGGACGCGGAGGCCCCGCGCGCAGGTGCCTAGAGGTGAAGCGCACAGATGAGGACCCTGAAAACTGCCCGGGCCTGCAGCCCGCGTTCCACCCTGCGTGGATGTGCGCCCACCCACGCCAGGATCCCGAAACTGGCAGATTTGGGGGAGACACCCTGTTCGTTAGTTACAGCATTGTTCTGACCTACGGGTACTGACCGGCTTTCCCCGGGCGGAGGTCGGCTCGGGATCCTGGCATCACTTCCCGGGGTACCGGGTCCCCCCTGATGTCTTGGGTTAGGGGCAACAGTGTCCGCGTGGTAAAGCGCACCCCGACTTGTCCTCAGGAATGTGCTGACGTTTCTTACAGGTCGCGTCCCTGTAATAAAGTATTGGGGGAAAGCATGTCGCTGATAAAGGCCTCTTCAACTTTAAAATGTGACCTGACATGTAAGGAGAGGCGTGTCCTCTGATCCAGAGGAAAGACTCTTTGATTTCCTTGCCACCGGCGCTCTTCAGCACTACCTGGGCGCTCTGAACCCCTCCTTTCACACAATGAAAGAAACTCCAGTCATTACCCCTCTGCTTATTATGTTATTGTATGATTTTGTAAATTTTACTGGAAACAACGCACAAGAGTTTTCATAGTTGCTGTATTTTCTTAAAGACAAACTAAAAAGGCTGGAGAAAGACATCTGTTTACTCGTGTTACCTCTATTACACTAAGTGAAATTTCTTTCACATTAGAAATTTAAGTCTGTTCTGTTAAAAGTTGCTGCCTCTGAATGTTGCTCACGTGAAGCTGCGGCATGACCGTCAGCCTAGCTGGCTCAGCCAGGTTGTTAAAGTAGCAAACCCTTCTGGATTAAAGAATCCCAGTGTCTGGGATGCCTCCCAGGATCCTGGTTATCTCCTGACCTTGTGGAAGACGGAGGTGGCAGACTGTGTGGGATTAACCTGGGCCCCCAACTCTGCCCCTGATGCCTCCTGAGAGGAAAGTAGCTGGTGTACAGACTTTGTTTACTCACCCAGTGACCAAATCCTGACCGTGTGTTTAGGTCATTTGTGTGTTTGCACCCAGACACAATCTCAGCTTCTGCGTGACCTCAGCTCAGCACGCGACAGCCACAGATGTGTTACACGCATGTGATGGGAAGGGGGTGCTGCTGAGATGCTGGCTTCAACTTTTCCGTCGAGGGGCTGAGAGTGCAGGTGATGATTAACTTGGCTTAAGAAATATACAAATCAAACTTGCAAGTGCTCAGCCTCTAATTACAAGTAGCCTTTTGGAAGAGAAGATCAAACAGGTTTTTTGTTTATTTTATTATTATTTTTTTTAATGTGGGGACCAGAAGGAACATGCAGACTTTGTCTTGAAACTTTGTTCTCGGGATGGATTATGTGATCAAAAGAGAAGAATAATTGAATTTGTGTGACATCAGCCCAGGGCTTAACACTTTTACATTTTTCTTACAGGGAAAAACATTAGGAGTGATAGCAGTTCTATAGTGTTGAATACAATGAAAAGCCTTGCTTGCTGGAACAGTTACACACTCCAGCAACTCCCACCTAACTCAGGGTCCCCTCCGCCCACCCTGGTGCTCACCTGGCCATTGGTCATCATTCAGGTGTGAAGGCAGGAAGAACATTTATCAGGCCCTGAGCAGCTTTAGCCTACAGGAATTCTCAGGTGAGAATGATTGTTGGCATTTCCAGGGATTTAAACCGTCGGGAAAATAGCAGCACTCATCACTTCAAGGCTTCTCGCAATGTGCTGCACCTTTTAATTGCTGTGTCACAAAGGAGAGTGCAGTAGGCGGTGCTTAGTAGGATTCTGTTGAATAAATAAATGAGTGGCTTTTATTGCTGCAACAAAAGGGAAAATGATTTCAGAATTTGGGATCTTCCTGTTCTGAGTTTCTAAGCTGATGAGATCCCCATGCCCTCCGACCCAAGCGGGTTTGCTGCTGCGTGGCCAATCCAGAGAGGGTTCACTCTGCGTCCTCATATATGTTTGTGAGGAAAATTGTCGTTCCCAAGAAGTGCCGGCCATTCCCATATTCATAAGGGTTAGGTTCCCCAACAAGCCCTAGATAGTAACTCCCACCTACCCACAGTTTCCTACCAGTGGGTACTGTCTCCACAAGGGGAAAGATGCAGAAGAGCTCCGGGAGTCTGCAATGAAATCTTATCCTGAAGAATTTCCCCATCTTGACATTGCTGGTCGTGACTTGTTCTAAAAGTGGCAGCTTGCACCAATTCCTTTTCCCTGGCAGCTTCCCACATTCCATGCTGCAGGAGCAAGCTGTATGTCTGATTCTGCAGCATAAACTTGATGCCCGGCATTTTCCTTCAGCCGACTGTGCCTGCTTTGTGAACACACAGGGGAACCAAGGGAGGCAGGGTGAGAACTTGCTCAAGGCCACGCATGAGGGCCAGCCATCCCCAGAAACCTGCAAGGCTTCGGTAGTGCTTTTAAATCCATGAGTCCAGTCTGTGAACCAGGGACCCCTTTGCTGTTGATTGACAGGCCTCTTTTAAACTTAGGTAATAGCATTTACCTCTCTCCAGAATGGAGGGCATAGCCTTGGAATTTAGAACGTTTCCTTTGTGCATTCCAGCTCTCAGGGATAGAAAGGAGGTGTTTCAGATCCCATCTCCATATCCTGAACAGTAAGGCCTTTTTCATGTTGATCCTCCGCATGTGCCATACAGGTGTTGCGATGGCTGGACTGTTGACTTGCACACGGAAAAGGCACAGCACATGGAAATCAGGTCATTCTCTTGCGGTGCATAAAGAATGCATTTCAAAGAAAGGGATTAGCTTTTTTTTTTTTTTTTTAACAGCACCCCCTGGAATAGAAGTCCTCAAATTTTTGTTGTCATAAGGAACTTTTGTGGTCCCTGGGAAGCTTGTTAAAATGCAGGTTTCCAGGCTTACCCGGTAGGGTCTCAGGAAATGAGTGGGGCCTGGAGCCTGGGGTCTGCAGGTATGTCCAGCTGATCCCAGTGCCTGGAGAGGCTTGGTATGAGCGCCTTTATACCAGGCCCTCCTGCCCCTTCCCCAGGCCCAGGGCTTTGGCACAGATGCCCCCGGAGCACACCTTCAGCAAGGCTGCCTGGAGTTAGCCTGAATGCTTGCAGAGGGCCGCCTGGAGTTAGCCTGAACGCTTACAGAGGGAAGTAGGGCACGGAGGCCACCCAGGGCTCGCTTGCTGCTGTGGAGTGAGTCAGTCCAATCGTGGACATGCGTGGAGATCACACTCTGGGGCTGGCCTTGCAGTGGACTCTCCTCCTTCCTGGCCGCATGTATTTTGTGACTGAGCACAAAGTCTAACCCTAAGAAAGAGTTAATGTAAAGCACAGTCATACAAGCCCCAAGTTAGGGACAGCAGTTGGGGTTAGGGACAGTGGTCAGGGTTACAGGCAGGGAATAAATCCTGAATGGTGGAGTCCTGCAGACGCAGAGCGGACCTGAGGACGTAATAAATAACCTGTGAGTGCCTGAGAGCTCTGTGCGTCCTGCAGCCCCTAGACCATTAATCAGAAACCAGCAACTGAAGGCCTGGCTGGCCAAACATTAATCACAAAGCAATTAACCCAGCACAGACACGGGGGCGGGAAGGGGGCTGGAGGAGGAGGACAAAGCTGGCTGGGGTGCAGGAGAATGTGATTTGGAAGAGGAGAAGGCACATAGATCCTTTTAAACGTTGAGGTGTGGCCTCACCAAGGAACTTGATTTTCTGTCGGTACCTTGGGTTTTGTTTTACGACAGGAAAAAGAAAAATCGTGGGCTATGAGAATCCACGACGGCCCCTTTGTTTGGATCCAGGCTTCCTCTTTGCATAGCTGGTGTGGGAGAGCCCGCCTGTGTGTGCTGCGC